AAATAATATAATAATATTACAATAATATAATTACAAATAATTAATTTTATCCATTAAATTCTATTTTATTTCACTAGACTTTTTTCAATAATGTCCCTCACGCACTTGCGCGTCCTTCAGCCTTCAATAGTGAGCCGTAAAAGAAAGCGCGGAGAGCGGTCATAATGCTCAATCTATTCGATTTTATCACAGGAGCCCGTCTCCGACCGCCATTCTCTCGCATCACTTTGACACTTTGTTGCGAATTAATACGATATATAATTATGTGCTATGCAAACGATACGACAAAATGACAAACAAACCGTTAGAAAGCATAATGATATAAGTCATATTTTTCTAAAAAAAAGTCCAAGAAAATTTGATGTAAAATATGATATAAAATTATCATTACAAAATTATCTTTTAAATATGCAAAAAAGAGATTTTATGTTTCATATCGAAGTAATTGTAAATTTCATTTAATTCATTCATTTAATTCGATATGATATAATATTTCATTTATTTACTAAATTAGAAAATAATTTAACAAATAAATTTAAAGTTTTGTGTCTAAAAATATTAATAAACAATGATCACATTCTGTGTTTTGCTATTTTCTGTGTGTTGACTTGTACCATTATTTCTTTCGACGGTTCATACAATATTTGACAAACGCAGAATCGACAAATGTCCCACATAATGTAATTTCGGGAAAGAACAAGTTTTTTTCTTTTTTTATAACTACACTTTCTACATCTTTCTACACAATTTTCTTTCTTCCTCCGCCTTATAAAGTTCGACGCATGTACATATGTTTCATTTTAAACGCAGAAAGTATAAGCGTCGCATTTTTATCACACTCTTCCTATCGCCACTCTTTATTTACATTTTATATCGCAGTGAACCACATCTTTTATTTTTCTTCCATGCTATTAATTATAACACGAATTAATGTTACAGTGTTACGGCTCGATTTCGCTGTAACTTAGGACGTGTTCCCTTCAGAATTTTCTCAAGCCGTTATTATTCGTTAATTGCTATTTCTATTTAATTGTATCATATTACTCCGTAACAAAGGGATCGTCTTCATCATCGATAAAACCGATTGCCAAGAACACTGTTAATAAATTTCCCATATAATATGAGCCAAGTTAAATTCTCATTTAGATTTATGGAATCGCCGCATTCCGTATTTTGAATAACTGTCTTTATTATAGCTTTTAAACCAATAATATATTAATAGATTGCGTTTTGATGCTAAATAACATAAAATGAAAATTAAACGGTCGTATTTAGCGCTATATACGCTAAAATTTTCCATCTTGATGTAACATGGAGTCCTTTTTTAAAAATACGTAACAGCGAGACAGCTCAAAAACAAGGATTCTGATGTTTCGTATTTCTTGTCGCATATTCGGAACACGCGCTCATTCGCGATTTTGAATGGATCATATAACAAACACTTAATAAATACTCGGTCCCGTTCGTATACATACTTCGCTCGGATCGTCTTACGTATATCGGGTGTATCAAACATTTCTGCCGTTTGTATACAGCAAAATCGTCGCGATTGTCAGTGCACGAATTACATTGCTTTTGGATTATGCTTGTCTAGCGATTATCGGCGCGATGAACGCAAGATTGACGATAATCGCGCCGTCCTGATCGACGATCTCATCTTTGACTTTATGATTTAGTGCTAATCAAACGTTTCGCAGGCCCAAAACAGTCAAACGGGAATAACGTTACAATATTATTAGATATTTGTATAAAAAGGATGAGAAAAGTGGAAAATTTCTAAAGTTGACAATAATATTTTTGTAAGATCAAGAGATAGTATATATCTAAAAATCCTTGAAAGATTTGATGTAATCAGGATGAGTTATCTCTCCGTCGTAATAATTTGTCTATTTGCTTTATCGATAATTAGTTTGTATTTAAAAATTCACATTTCTCCAGTTGACAGTAGAATTTTAATAAAATCAGTAAATAAGATTCGATCTTAGATTAAGATACGTTATTCTTTATCACCGATGATGATTTATTTACTAGAGAAGCTCAAATTTTAAGGTAATGCTGGCAATAAAAGTCTGATATAATGTTAACAGTACATCTAAAATTCGGAAAGAGATGCTTAAACAGCGGAATGCGATTGCTTTTGCAATAAGCACACTATACAATATCGTAGCGTCATTATAATATATTCAGTGCTTGCATAAATAAAATTACTAAAAAAAAGATAAATCGTATACTTGTTTTTTACATACTTATAATTCATATCGAGAAATTCTAGGAATTCCTTATAAAGTTCATTTTATAGTTCCATAAAAGAGCTCATTTATATTGGAATGAGTGGAATATGATATATGATATTAACATTAATATGAATATATGATATTAACTCTTGCGAGAAATTTGATGTCTTTCCTTATTTACGTTATATCTTATTTACGCGTACATGTAAACATGTGATATTAATTGTCGATTAATTGCGTCAAAAAAAAGACAAAAAAAAAAAAAAAAAAAAAAAAAAAAAAAACCGCGAGAATGCAAATTTTTTCGCATAGCAATATTTTTATTCGATACAAGTTCGGTAGTTATGTCCATATTTCGAGAGTTTCCCGAAACACGCAACAAAAGAGCATACTCATATACTCATACTATTTTGCTCAGTCAAGAAACAGATTGATAAAGGGAGATAAAATTGTCAAGTGCTATTGGTTGAATCATTCAGCTCGCGGGCCGTGAAACTATTATCGTAGTTCTAAATATTTGGACCACTATGCCAGTTTTATTTCTCATTGCAATGATGGAATAAAAGCTGTTGTAAGATAACATTTAATGAAATTCGTTATTTCGATAAATGCCTACAATGTTTCTCATCCAAACAGCAAGTAGCTGATAATTCTTTCTCACCTTTGTCCGTTTATGGAAAACGGGCGAAAAGCTATGGCCACGAAAATTCGTATACTCCATGCTAGGTCGATTGGCTAACGATTTCAATACTCGCTGAATCGATTTCGATACACATATTCGATTTAGCAAATATTGAAATTGATGGTCTGAAAATAGACCAAAGGATGCTCTGTCCGCAAAAATGTCCTCGACGATTTCTAGAAGCAAGAAGTTTCACGAGACATCACTATGTACGATTCAAGTCTATCGAGAGTACTTTCCCTTCTCCATCAATCTCGCGATCGAGATTGTGATTCGCAATCGGATAATATTTACACTGGATTAGGCTCAGAGTCGCGAGATCCACACGATCACAGGAAGTCGTTGAGGCAACCGCCGAACCACATTACTACTATCGGCACCAGGTACGTTGTCAGCGCCCTGGACAGCGACATCTTCTGTCTACTGGCACCGCTGCTGTTATCTACAGCAGTGGTCTGGTTGTTATCCGCGCCTGTGCTGCTCGTACCTGTACCCTTGTGCGGCTCAATATCCACTCGTGGCGGCGTTTCGATCTCGTGAACGATCGGCGGGGACGGCTGTTTTGGTGGTTCCGACTCCGATTCCACGTGCGGCGGCTCGAAACCGGAACCCTCCTTGAAGCCGTCCTCGTCATCGGTGAACGCACCATCGCCAGAACCGCTGCCGGAACCGTACCATGTTTCTTCTGTCAAATCATGACGTTTATCATTGATAATATAATAAATAAAAAAGTACTATTTTTTAGTCTACGTTATGATATTTACAGACTCGTTACATTTTATTATAATCATTGCCATATATAATCACCTGTGTCGATCCAATCGACGTCTTGCCCGTTGAACGCTAATCTCAATCTATTTGTAATGGTAGTAAGCGCGAAAACCTGATCCCTCACGATGGTAGGTCTTGGCCCCATACTGCGCACTTCGGGGTTCATCATTTGAGTTTCGCCATCCGAGGACACCGGGTATATATATCTGGAAGAATAACAGTCTTGTAAAAGTGGGAAATACTGTGCAATCATGTATCATACATATATATTTATACATACATTAATATTTTTATTTTTATACAGGGGAAAATAGGGTAAAACCGGGTACTTTTTTGGATTTGTTTTCCTACAAAACATCAGAGAGTAAAAAAAATTTTGCTGACCGTTAGTAATCTTTAGTGGATCTTAATCTATGAAAAAATGAGGGTAGTTGCTGAAAAAAAAATTTGATTACCAAGGATAACAAGATTTTTTGGAGAAGTCAAAATATCCGATTTTGTTCTAGCGTTAGGGTAAAACCGGGTACCCGTTTGAAAACATGTAAAACACCGTACAATTAAAATCTAGATTATTTATTTTAATCAAAATACAATACAAGGATATATTCTAAAACAAAAATCACAAATAAAGATATCCTCTCGTTCTACATTCCTGCAGGATTTTCTTATTTAATTTTTGAACTTTAGGGGTCTCAAAAAGCTTTTTTTTTTTAGTAGTTTCGTTTTTTGAGTGGTAGTTTTCGTTTCCAACTGCTTTTCGTGGGGAGATGAAGTCAGGATAACAGTTCTTTCTTTTTTTATTACATGAGAGGTGTAGGTACCCGGTTTTGTCCCAACAGGAGGAAAATAACAAACACGGCGGCTGTATATTCCGGTGTACAATGTGACAATCAAAACTAGTGCGATATACTCTCTAATATGTACAAAATGCAATACTGCATTTACCGAAGCCGATGCTTTGTGTAGAAAAAATCTATAACGACTCGATTATTACTCCGATATCGATCTTTTTTGGCCCGAAAATTATGAACTTCTCTTAAAAAAGAAATATCGTGTGCACGTGAGCACGGTTCATCTTAAAATAATGATGGCATCAATCTACAACTAATAATACGAGTTAGCCAAAGATAGTATTTATCATGAAGAAACAGAGGTACCTGGTTTGACCTGCCTACCTGATTTTACCCTATTTTTCCCTATATGCAGTACATATTTAAGATGTAAATAAAGTGTATAAAATTAAATTGGTAATATTGCAAGTAAGGGAGTATGCTATAGTCGTTTGTTGCAAATTGTAAGAAAATTTATTTTATATATATGCCGGGTGTTTTAAAAGTGGAAGTCAATCGCTCGGGAGATGATTGGAGACTCAAAAATAAGAAAAAAAGTTGGTATAAACATAGGTCCAGAAATGCATTTCCGAATTATCGCCATTTTTATCTTGAAATTTCAAATTGTTTTGTTCTCGGATTTTTTTACCAAAATTGTTTTTATGAATTTTATAACATAATTAAAATCAAATAAAAATTGCGGTCTGCTTTAACACTAACTAGGATAAAAAAAAAAGAAAAAAAGACCACAATAAAAAAATAAAATAAAAAATAAATAAATACAAAAAAATAAATGAAATAAAATAAATAAATACAAAATCATTTCTTCCCTCAATTTTGACAAAAAAATTCGAAAGCAAAGCAATCGAAATTTCACCATAAAAATGACGATAACTCGAAAACAACGCATTTCCGGACCTATGTTCATACCAACTTTTTTTCTTGTTTTTGGGTCTCCAATCACCTTCCGAGCAATTGACCTTCACATTTGAAACACTCTGTATATTATATAAAATTTTGTTCACGCATACTTGTCTACGTGCGTGCCGTTCCAACATTCTTTCGTGTTGCTAGGCGACACAACCAGACCCTCGTTGCATAGCCGATAGGGAAGATAGATCCAAAATTGTTTGAGATCACGCACTCGCTGGCGTATCTCTTTCACCAATTTGTCTAGGATCGCAGCAGTGGAACTGCGATCTTCGGTTAATGTTTCCTGCTCAAAGTTTAGAGATTCCAGCTCCAGCTCGCGATTGTCCCTGCGTCTACGTCTACCTAGCATCGGCCGGCCGCAACCAGTGAACACACGTTGTGACACATCGTGACTGCTCTCCTGGAAATTCATGATTGCCTCAGAGATCTTCAGATTGATTGGACGCACCAACACCTCGATGTTGAACGGGCCGAGCAACCGATCAGCGACTTTGTCCACAGCCTCTGAATTTGGAAATGACAATAGATAAATTAGAATTTGAAATTGCTTCGTTCGCGAAATATGAAGAAAAATAGGACGTTTCTCGCACGTAATGTTTCTTCCGAAAAAAGTTTTTTTTATTCCCTTAACTTTCATGAAACATTTAAAAATGTAAAGTGCTACTAATATTAATAAATTTTATTGTGTCACCTTTATATAAATAAATATTTTATATTATCGTGTCGATTTTATAAATAATACTTTTTCCTCCGCAGAGAAAGGCCTCGAGGATACGCAAATACGTTGTGCATACGCACATTGCGATAATCCGTATCCTCTCGAGATATAATAGCCGATAATTTGAGGGAGGAGAGGGAAGAAAATCAAGGCTAAATCACTCACCGACAAAGTGATTCCATTCAGTGTCGAGTGCCACGTGTTGTGCCAAGCAACCCTTCATCACATTGGCGCACATGTCGCCGCACGCCAGCACGTCGTCCGATATACCGCTGCAAGACGGACAAGCTGTCATCCTGGTCAGGGCAGCTGCGCAATCCACTGATGGTTTCAGCTACAGACAACAAAGAATTGATTTTAGAATCTGCGTGCGGTTGCGGTTGCGAGGTAATAGCGTAAGAGCCGCAAGAAGCATCCGAAAAAGTTTAAAGTAGGACAGAGTGAAGAAGGGTGAATAAAGTATTTAAAGTAAATAATTTTACATATATAGGGTGTTACAGACTACCTGTCCACTTCTTTTATCTTGAAAAGGGATGGTGCTAGAAAGTTGGGACAAATGTTGGGGCAACATTTCTCGATAACGGTAAGTGATACTTAATTTTTTTTCAAGCGGAAGAGTTGTTTCTATCTAATAATGCCCATGTTGCCATTTAAAATTTTTAAGTTGCCTTCGATTTCCGGTATTTCCGGGATTTCCCAAAAATGAAAGCACCATCATCAAAAACTTCAGATAGGCTTTTATGGTAAACATGTTTGTCCCAACTTCCTAGCATCATCCCTTTTTGAAATCAAAGGGGTAGATGGGTGGTCTAAAACATTCTGTATATAAAATGAGAATGAGACATTATATCAAATAAATCTATATACAGGGTGTCCTAGACCACCCGTACACCCCTTTTCTTTCAAAAACTAAGCATTTTAGAGAAAAACGTTTTGAACAAAAATTGTATGGTTTTGAAGGGAACATAAGATGGTGTCATTGGTTTGACCTTGGATGGCATCGTTAAGGTCAAGT